ATGCGAAGAACTGACAAGAAACTCAATTCGTTTTTTTTTCAAATAAATATTGTACTTACATGTTTACAATAATACAGATTCATTTTTAAATTCAAATTTATATTGTTCTTAATACAGTAATATTAAAAACAATAGGAACTGTATGTAAATAACGAATTACTACTACTACTATCACTTAATGATTGCTTAAATAAAAAAAATATGCAAGCAACTAATTAGGTAGATATTATTTCTAGCAGTCAAAGAGAATATATATTTTTAATAAAATCGGGCGAATCGTGCGATGTGTGCTTAACTTCTTCGGTTTTGAAGTCATGTAGAGCATTGAAATGTAATATTTCAAGATCCAAAAATTTGGAATTTTTCGGAAGAGTTCCTCACATATAACGTAAACGTTACATATGGAATGAGTACATATTTCTAATACATCTGATATGTTATTAGTTAATATTGTACGAGTGTATTATTTACTTTAAAAAATATACACTTCGCAAAAATGAAATCGGAATTGGGAAACAAATCAAATCAAAATCAAAATATCTTTATTCATACATGAATTACGATTATTATAGACTCTTATCATATGTCAAATCTATCGTCAGTTCGGAGCGCTTTCGTACTAAGAACAACTGACGAGAAACTCAGCTTCATCTTTATAAATGAGTTTGTAGATGATTTAAAAAATTCAGATTACTTCCTAAATTAAAGTGGGGGGAACGTAGTTGACAAAATAAGCATAAATATCGTAATATACTCGTGCCTATTTTTGATTTACGTAATATTTAATCTAGTTAGTAAGCCTATAGTCTATATTTACGCCAGTTATCTTACGCGATGGGCAGAAATAATCTAATGTTTTCGCTTGAAGCTTTACTATTTTGTTGATAATTTGTATACCCAACCACTTCAAAGATTTATGCATCCTTCAGGAAACATAATATGTATGGATAAAAAAGGCATTAGTAATGGTTATAAAATTTAATGGGCCGCCATATCTGTTCTTCAACTCAATCTTCACCCACATGATAACCATCATCATTAATTTCTATCTTTCTTCATTGAAACCCTGAGAGTACATACTATTAGGAAACATAGGTGTACAATTCGTCTATCAAAAAATAGCATCACAAATATATTTGTATGCTATACCAGAATAATAATATTTCCATCTAAATAAAATTTGTCACCTCACGCCTCACACCGTTTAATAGCACTATATGTCATATTACATATATTGCTATTGCTATATTATCGCTAATATCAAACTTTAGGCGCTTGTCAATTATGTGAATATTATTTATTATTTTTCTTTTTTATACACGTCCCGTGTACCGACACCGACTTGTGGCACTGTAATTTTAATAATGTAATAAGTCTTACAATCGTATTATTATAAAATTTATATGAACCTAATATTAAAGTCTTCATTCACATAATTTACCTAAAAAAAAGTTGAAAACTAGGCAAGATGATTTATCATAAAAAGTTTCAGGAAAAGTCATTGTTGGCTATCTACTTTAAAAGAAGCGACATTTGTAAATGTAAAAAGCTCTCAGTAAAGTATTCTTAACTAGAAGAAAGACTTAGGCAATAAGTGCTACCCACTTGTTTACTACGAAAAAATTCAACGGATAATTAATTTTACTTTTCGTAAAAAGTCTTTTGCGTGGATACCTCAGTCTGACCTACTATAGCCTGCTACTTGCTTTGTAAGTGATATGTTCCGGTTGTAGGCTGTCAGTTTGTTTGCTATTCCAATTATTTAAAAATGCAATAAAATTGTACATAATTAAACCAGCTATCCTGCAATACTTCCAGTGTGAATTCTTATTAAAATTATGTTGACCTAGGTAGTACTTGTAGCTAATTATTTTATGATAAAGCAATAAATCATCCATTAATTTGTCCTTTCACAATAAATTTAACACAAAATATCAGTAGACTGGGTAGGGTTCATACTGTATGTAATGACTAGTAACCCCATTATTATCAATGTATCTCTCAATGTCAGATCGACCTCGACTTCTCTCTGGAAACTGACCTGACCTCATGCTCATTTTATTATCTTCCACTGCTGCCCTGCCGCAGCGTATATTGTAGTGATTCATTAAAAATGTACAAAAATATCAGTCAATTATTTTTAATACTGCACTCTCTTGAAATTTTTCTTAACTAAAGTATCTTGGGTATACTTTCTGTAAACATAAATCATAAATAATGTAATAGTGTATAAAGAGATGGCGCTGTAGTCCGCAACTAGTAAGTAAGTATTGAGGCGTATTAATTCAATAATACCGTGCTCATACTATAGATGGCGCTGTCACAAGTAATTAAAAAGAAAATAAGCTTTTGTATTTTTCGAATCAAAACTGAACTATTTTATTTTATTGTGCGAGTTCGTCTGTGCATCCAATTTCGCAGTTTCAAATATGCACTAGTGTTTATAATTTGACGGTTTCAGAACCCGCCGACGTTGACTTAAACATTTTTTTTATTATTAGGTAACTATTTATATTATTTAGTTAAAAATTAACTTTTTAATAAAGTAAAATAACTATCACTTAATGATTGTTTAAATAAAAAAAATATTAGTCACTAAATATAGGCATAGACGATGTAAATAAAGGTACACAAAACTTTCTACAACCAGATGTTTCTGCTTTGAACTACATGGTACAAGCACAGATATGTATAAGTAGGTATCTTTAAAAAATTAATTTATAAATATGTTTCATACTACGATTGTATGACGCCAAAGACAAATATTTCATTAATCATGAGACGAACATAGATTCTTGTGGATATACCTACATGTGTTTCAATCGAGAGGAAAGTAGGTATATATACTTTGTTGCAATTTATTCAGCAAATTAAAGATGACGGAACAGTCACCTAGGTAAAAATTACTTGACTACCATTCGCAATTTACTTTTAATAATTGGGTAGATATTATAAAATTTTTATTTAATTTAACATGTACTTATGATTCTATACATTTTTATAGGTATAGAGGGTTTAAAAACGGGAATGTAAAACAATACATTTTTTTAAGGAATTTATTTCATCGTCAATTTCAAACTACACCTTCAAAATTACAATTGATTATAACTACTATAAGCTATAATTTTACCTAACATCAGACCCAGACCTAAATCATTCTTTGAAAAAATTTTGACACGTTTTCGAAACTTCCAATTTTTTCCAATACATTTATCCTACATTCCATTAAGCATTACTACATATTAAAAATGAGAACCATGTTACTGGAATTGTTCCGAAAATATCATGTTTCATTAATAAGTCTTCACTTGTCTAACATCCGAATTATTTTGTAAAATTACAAAAAATAAACTATTTTCTATTTTGAAAAGTAGAGAATTTCACTCAAAAGAGTTACCTTTGTTGTTTTTTAATGATAGACATGCATTTGAAACATTTCATGTAACATAGTTCTAATACTTACGTTAAACTATATATTAAATCATATATTAAAATTAGTTGCATGCTCGCGCAAGCCAGTTGCTTTACGGTGGTTTAGTATATTACGTACATACTTATCAGAAAGTCTCACATACATCGAAATTCGCTCGTTCCCATACATAACTACAGATTAAACATCACTACCAAATCTAAATTATTAATATAACAAAATAAATCTGTTAAGTCACGAATTAGGTTTCACATAAATCAGGTACAAATCAATACAAAGTAACACTAAGGTAACTCGTTCAACCAGAGGAAGATTACAATGAGATCGTGGTTTTAATTATATTAATAACAACACAATTAGTATATAAATATGGTTTATGAACGAATAAAGCATATTCCACAATAAATACAGTGATATACAAAATGTTTTTGGCTTTTATCTTATTAAAATCAAATCACAGAAAACAATAGTGCCTACTAGTCTGTTCGGTATCGACATCACTTGGTCTCTATGTAACATCATTGTAGCAGAATCCTTTCTCGGTATCCTTCTAGGTATCATCGATATAACGAAAAAATCGATGTTGACGTCGATATATATCGAATAAGAAACATCGATGTTTCCTCTTAGCGTATCTGATGATGTGTTCATAGAACATTTGTCATCGATGTAAAAACGTTGGAGTTTATCTAGGGATGACCCTTAGATAAACCAAAATTCTGTAACCAAAGTGATATCTTAATACGAACAGAATAATCTAATATTTATAAATATCAAGGGCCCCAATATTACCAATATACCTACTTAACTCTATATAACAAAATAATATAAATAAGTCAATGTGATTGTTACATAACATGTGCAATTCTTCTTTTCTATGTTCTTTAATATTATGTGCCATATTATTACTGGGGTTAGGTTCACTTGACTAAATGAATCCTTTAATGTTTTGTATGAAAACTATGACATTAAATATTAATCCATATTGTTGGCCAATTTTCTTAAATAGTAATTTACTATTTACGTACTTCTATGATGATATACTTCTAAGCTGCTAGCAAATGCCATATAATTAAAGAAAAGTCATTATCACACATCAATAGACGATGAATTATCCACAGTCAAGTTTTAATGTAATTTAAATATTAAGGACTTATATCCAACCACTAGTATAATATACGGCAGCTACATGGGGCGCTATACCTATTTCATTAAAAATACTAGTATAATTTACCAATTTCCATAGTAAAAATATACCTTTTTAATTAACATTTCTCGTTCATAAACTTGACTGTAGATTAATAATATTAACAGACATTGGTGTACAAATTTGTACTAAAATCGATATTGTTTCCGTGACTGCGCGACCTCATGATGAGTCACTTAGGTATTTTTATAATTCGCGCTCCAATTGTCATTGTTAACCTTACTACCTACATGTTAAGGCTCTATTTATGGCATCATCACATAATTTTATATACTATACAAAATGTTTGCTACATTAATACCGCCATTTGCAAATGAATATCTTATAACCTTGTTGAATATCATTGTAAATTGTAAACACGTAATATGTTTAAGCATAATATATGTTTTTATTGAAACTTTTCTTTCAACTGACTCACAAATGTAGGAAACAAGAAACTTTATATTGGACTGTATGATTACAAAAATTTACTTAGGCCAAGTATTAAAAATAATTAACAATTATATTATACAGTCGAAAATAAATCAAGTCCATTTAGTTTTGGTGATTCATAAGAAATATCAGAGTGCGCTATTCAAGATTATAATATAGGTTTATTTACTTTATCATCTGCGTCATTCTTAGTCCATATTGCAGTAACACTGATTAATTAAAAATTATTACACTGATGATAATACTCTAAGATAAATAATGAATGAGTAATGCCAAGCGTAAGTACTAAACAGAAATAGATATCAATATTAATATATAGGTTATTATTATCATGAAATAAACATTTAATATGATTATATTGGTAATAAATAATACGTCATCTATACAGGTTGCTGCGGTGTTGGACTAGCATATACATATAACATTCTGCACTACAGTGCAAAGTAGCGTTAAAATTTACAAAAAGCGTGTTCTTTCTCAACACAATCATCGCCAAGTGTATCTTAAACTCTTTGGTATTATTTACTGGGTCATCTAAAGCTATACATATAATAAAACTATGTTTCGCTTATACATTGTGCTTCTGTCGCCCATCGAAATTAAAAAAGCGCCAGGACGTGTTCTAAAACTTAACTGTCCAGAACTTCTCAATAACCAACCAAATCAACGGGTGGTTTCCGCAAGTCCATTGCGGTTCTAATTTTTTCCATAAGTCCATCAAAAAATGTTCATAGTAGGACAGCTTGTAAGGGAGTGGAAAGTGCCATATGTTCAGCTCCTCTTACTGGAAGTCTTTGAGCTGTCACATAGTGTTTCATGAGGGCAGGAACTGAGGGAAATGCCGTAGCTGCACCTCCCAACGTGTAACCTTCAACACTACGGCAAATCCTCATATGCATAAAACCACGAGTCGACCTAAGAAAAGAAATAACAAATAATTATCATCAAGTATGCAAGCAAAGCAATATAACATAACTGCTAACAAATATTGTGTAAAAAGTCCTTTCAAACTCTTCTAATATGTCACCAAGAAGACACCCTAACTCATTGAACTGTTTTATAAACACTAACTTGATTATGAAAAGGACGAAGCAAGAGTTGCTTCTCCAGCAACTCAGCTATTCTTGGCTGAATCATCCACAAGATGCTATATCATTATGGTGAAATCATTAGGGAAGATCTATATTCCGCATTGGATATTATTAAGACTAAAATAACGACCCTGATAATTATGATGATCTTCTTGAAATGATAATGAATATATTATTATTAAATAATTAATTATTACATATACCAATAATCGTAACACTCACTTCAAACTTAAAGAATAGTCATGTTTCGCAGACTCGCTATTTCTGACAAGAAATGCACCTTCGTCTGCATCTCTCAATAGACCCTCAGCTTCAACACGGGATAAGGTTCCGTGGTACCATCTGGAAAATTTTAAATATAAAAAATAAATAAATGGACAGTCTATACAATTTTTATAATATGTAAGAAATATTTTGGCGCAAGTAATATATATAAATTATTTTATTAAATATTCTAAACCCTGTAGTTTACTTGAATCATCGAGTTATACATTATTTTGAAGTTTAAAATTTATATGAAAAAAGTACGTATCAAGGCTTTTTGACACACACACCCACATTAATCGTGTAAATTGTACTGAAAGTTTATATTAACTTACCCCTGTCTATCAAGTGGAAGAGAAGCATCTACAAGGTCCCGGGGTGGAGCTATAGGTCCTAAATTCAAACGCAATCCTTTAGAACTACTACCACCGTCAAAGTTCAAAGTCAATTTAGCTCGATGCTTATTATCTGAAAATAAATATATGAACAATGCATTAATATCAGATATATGTATATATAATGGTAATGTATACATATTAAGTCATATCTTATTATATGTCAAATCGCACGCGTTACACAAAAACTTCGAACTCCTAACTCAAACGAACGTTTACAAATTGCTACCAACATGTACAGGAAAAGTTCCTTCAAAAGGCACTCAAGCAAATTAAATATTGGGAGGGCGTTGGACCAAAGAATTTCGTGTGGAGCAATCCGAAGTCATACGTCTTAATCGGCATAATGCGGTGGTGGTCGCTTCAAATTAGGACAGACAAAAAATACAAGTCGACAGACCCTCCGCTTTCTTTCCCTCAAGAATAACATGTAAATCTTCCAACTTATTGTATCTGACATAATAAATCCATCAAAAATCAGATATAGTTTCAGTATTTAATCGGTATGCATCGAAAAAAAAATCAGCAATTAGAAATAATAACAATAAATCAAATTACGTGTAAAATTAAAAAAATCAGCACATGGGACATTACGAATACAAGGGGCGTCACAGTATATTTTATAATATACGTGATGCTGTTCATGTCTATAAGCGAAAGTTATAACTTTCAATCACACAGGATCCAGCTCCAGCTTTCCAGCTCATGCACAAAAACACACACACACACACACACGTGTGTGTTTTTGATACCAATAACATGAAAAACATATTAGAGAAAATCATAAAATACTAACCTTGATTTAAATCTTGAACACTTTGACTAGAGGAAGCATTTGAAATAACTCCGCCAAAATCACTGTTCAGCTGTAATGACTGCCCTCGTAATTTTCGTCGCAGTTTAGGCATATCGAAAGGCAACGATCGCAAATCGGCTTCGGCTTCGGCACGTCGTCTCCTTAATTTCGGCATGTCGAATGGTAAATCAGAAAAATCTACATCTTCATCTTTTCGTGTTTCCTCCGTGTTATTACTCTTGAAATTAATAAATGCATTTCGGGAATCCACACCTTCTCTAGAATGTATTGATATACCGCTATCAGAACCTTGAATCTCTGCATCCCCAGCAGTTGTCGAATGCCTAAATGTAAGATTCAGAAGATTTCTATTTTGTAAAGCGCGGCGTTTCGGTTTAGCAATACTTTCAAAAGTAGTTTGTATTGTCGTGTTTCCCTTTTCACCATCCTCAGGTGATACTTTTTGAGAATTATTATTTTTATTATTATCAGAAGTTTCTGATCCTGGTTCCTGTGAAGATTTATCAGATATGGGGCTAAGAATATGTAATTTAGTTGGATGGTGCCCAAACCCCGATAACTGCATATGATGTGATTTTGCGAAAGGGACATTTCCTGAATCCGAGCTATGTGAACTTAAAGACGATGAATGACGGCTTTCTGAGCTACTACTACTCCTATCACCTTCACTATTACTACTTCTTAATGACTCCATACTTCCCCCACTACTACTAGTAGCCATGCTTTCGGTACTGGAGTACTTTCGTCGAGGACGAGTAATACTGGGCCTTCCCTTAAACTCCATTATAGGACCGACCCCCTTTGGGCCCTTATACCGATTCAATTCTGGTGTGTCAGAATCGGAAGTGGGTCGGCCCTTAATCTCTAAAAAAATACCGTCTTTGGATTGTCTTTCATCATCGTCATCACGGGACTCTCGTCCTGAATCTCTAAGACGTGGGCCCATATCAAGTTCCGTCGATACTGAACCTTTTACATCTGCCATACTTGCATCACTACTTGTTGGAGTTTCTCGAGCTCGTAATGATTTTACAGGTAATCGCAAGTCTTTCAAACGGGGATGTGCTGGTTGTGATTGTGGCAGATTGGGTGCACTTTTTATACTATTCATTGCAGATCCATCTTTCTGAAATTTTGCAGGTAAAGGTGCAGTAGAGGGTGGCGATGGTGTGTAACCTCTAAGAGGCAATTGTGAAGTTGATGCACGATCTTCCTCTTCAATATGGATCTTTTCTAATTCTTCTGATAAAACACATGTATTACCATCAGTTTCCCTTTTTTGACGAATTGTAGGAATTTTAGAACGCCTAACACTATCTGTTTTCATTGTCACTTTACGACGACCTTTAAAGTCTGGTTCACTTCGTTCGACTGCTTCAAAAGCAGACGAAGCAGAAGATATAATTTTTCGCTCCTCTGCTTGCAATAAAGCTGGATGATTGCTAACGCGATCAAAGTCATCCAAATCATCGTCAGATCTGGCAATTTTACAATCGAAAGCAGTTTCATATATTTGTCGAGTGGTCATCTCTTGTGGCCAGCGTGGCAGCGGCGCCGGCACATAAAAAACGCTGCGAGAAGATCGATGCTCCTCTACATCGTCGGGCGCGGCGCACGCGTAGCCGGCCGCGTCGCGCCCACGGCGCCTCGGCGGCATCCACGCGCTCTCACCTGACGAAGACGATGACCGCTCTAGCTCACGGAAACCATCTTCCGCTACAGAGAACCGTTTTGGGAGATTAGGCCTTGGAGCTACGTGAGGAGCGTCTAGGCTAGCAGATTTTCTGTACCGTGGTCCGCGAGATGATGATGTGGTGGAAATGGTTGGTGCTGACGGAGCCGGAGGCGGTGGAGCTGTCTTGAATAGGTCACCGTAATAATAAGGGCTTGGGTTTCTCCGTGGAGCGTTAGCGTATCTAGGATCCGACCGTCCACTATCTGGTGAATGAAGAGAAGGTGCTGTTGCGAATGGATCAAATTCACCAAACTCGTCTTCGTCTTCTTCTGAGGATGATGTTCTATTCTCGGATGATGATTCTAAAACAAAATGAAAGGAATGTTAGTCTTGTATTTAGTTTACTTTTCTTAAATAAAATATTGACATAAAAAATGTAAAATACAAACAGATAACCGAGAGTACCATTTTTTTCTACTTATAAACATGATTATCTATTTAATTAAAATAATAAATAAAAACGTGAACTTCACACTGGGTTATATGATTCTAAAATTTAATAAATTTGAAAACAACAATAATTGGAAGAATCATATACAGATTAATACGTTCTAGAAGAACTAACAAATAGTCATGGGTATGGTATTTTTAAAAATTGGTAACTGCTATATTACATACTTATTCTATTTCGCTTACAGAATTTCTAACTTATTTTATTTATTAACTTTATTCTTTTATTTTCATACTTTGTTTTTCCATGATTTTTATGGTAAAATTTTAAACATGATTTGTATACATAAATCGAATGTTCTCTTCAACATTTTAATTGATTATCTGATTATTGAGCTATAAACCTTTTCCTAAATAAATTGCGTTTCTATTTCAATCCAACTCAAGGACTTTTACGTTACTTAATGAATGCATTAAGCCCCTCGTACATGCGAAGCTAATGTTATTTCAAAGGCACGTGGAAATACCCTAATGAGAATTTCTTGCTTCGCACAACAAAGGACTCTTCTGAATACATCGTGAACATAAAAAAGTCGAGATTTAAAAACCCTCGAGCGACGACGATAGCAAAAAACTAACGAATCGTAGCCCAAGTATGGCTTGCCATTTTTAATACACTTTTTTTAATGCTTTCGCTAAACCACAATCCTTTTGTTCTTTAGGTACTTACTTTTAATTCCATATTTTCTGTTAGTCTATTATTTTTAAGAGCGATGTCATTGTTATGTTATTATTAATTTTTGTCATTGTTTGTATGTAGTTTATTGTTACTATCTAATATTATGTTATCTGTGCGTTACTTATTTAAGCTTTACAACATAATTATTATTATAAGACTTATAGCAAATTATTTAACGAAACAGATATTCATTTTATTATGTTTTATGAATAATTTTATAAATTTCTATACTGTGAAATTTACATAGAAGAATTATAGTTTAAGCCGACAAAATTATAGATGCCTATATAACCCTAAAAGTACAAGAGGGCACAAAAGGGCATTGCTTATCCAACATGACGACATCGTCACTGGGACAAAACGACGTCAAAAACTGGGCAAATTGTCTATTAGCGTTGCTGAAGCAGGGAGGGAGAATAAGTGACGTCATTACGCTACGTAATTGCTTTTCCGCGTGGATGACCAGACCCGCGACGCGAAATTTGCTAAATCGCCACAATTAACGTGTTAAATGTGTTTCTGAATCGTGTCGCCTGTGAGGTTAAATGAAGGTGTTAGATTCACACATTTTTTTCCAATTAAATCAAAATATAGTGTACTTTACATGTAAATAATAATATGCACCTTCAAATTTGACTGTCTGATAATAAGGAATATTACAGTTTATAACAAATCAAGATATACAAGTGTAAATCTACTTTCCATTTCCATTTATTTCCTTCAAACGAGCGTCATCGGTATCTAGATTATTAGGTACTCAGGTCCTCACAGTCTAGTCTAGACGAAAGGATAAACGACAAAGGCCTGATTAAAAATGATATTGTTCCCGCAATACCCGACCGCTCGAGTCCCATAAAAACGTGATATTTATATCAATGAAAACGAGAAATTCCTTAATTGCTAATCACCAAACATACTCACACATGTGAGAACAATTAGTATACAATGTATTTATATTTGAAATTATATATAATATTCAATACATTTCTAAACTTTATATATGGTACACGCATTTGCACAACCTATTGTAGTTACTTTCTAGAGAACATTTTTATGTATAAATTCTTTTATACAAATTGTGAATTAAATCAAATATTTTTAAAACTACAAATAATAATATAATATATTTAATGTAACAAATTGTCTACCTAAATTTGTATCTATATTTTTTATGTATCTTTTATTAATTAATAAACATGCAAGGCCCTTGTCCACTTTTCTTAAAATAGACCTTATTACCTGTATTAGAACTTAAATCCAGTTAGCGACGGACACAGTTAAGTTTAATCCTTAAACTACTACATACAACAATGCATTAAATAAGAGCATGTATTGTTACACTGGAAAAAAGGAACCATTGTCCTGGTTGAGATTAGACGGTAGTCGGAATTGAGATATACTTATACTTACATGTACCTACTGTAATGTGTCTTTTTCAAAATCTCTCTGTATAGCTCATTTTGTGAATTAATATAAATATACATATCTGATTCACTACCTATTATTAGTATACCACTACTAATAATAGTTAGGGAATTAATAGATTTTCCTTGTGTACCACTGAATATTTTACATGTGAATACTAACCCGATTCGTAATATGGCTGTGATCTGTGACGCGATCTCTCGTGTCTTAAAGGCGCAGATGGCGCCGGCTCTGGGGGAGATTCCGTGGAACCCTCAGGGGCACTTTCAGGACTACGCCGTGATACCCCTGGGACGGATAAGTCGAAATCTGTTCTTCTTGCAGACTCGTAGTCGGCACGTCGTCTTGCGGATTCTGCGTCGAATTCAACACGCCTTCCGGAATCTCCGTCGTACTCTCGGCCTCGTCTCGACTCGTAATCGTAAGGTCGGCGACACGAGTCAAAATCGTAATTCGACCGACGGGATTCCTGTTTCCATCTGTATGTATCTGGTGAGCGGCGTGGCTCTCTGGAGCGACGACTGCGTAGTGGCGACCGTCGAGCTGTATCACGAGGTGTGCAGTATGCTTCTATAAACTCGACCTGTAACAACAATTAAACCTTTTGAGTAAAACGTTCCGCACGGGAAACAACGGTACAGGTCGGGATAAGTCATTGCATAGCAAGTGACTATTAGTCGGAAAGAAGCCCTTCATCATGAAAGTCGATTATGTGGCAGAGTAAAGTGGTAATAAAATGCAGCGGTCACATATCCGGCGACCGTAACGGGCGGTTAGACGTCCTCTCCCCTCGATGGGGCGTCATTACCACGACCCGTTTGTGTTTATGGGGACGGATATAAAGAATATTATGAGATATTGTGCCTGCATCGCCAATACGATGAGGTGATAACATAGCGAGGGACACTGCCAAATTTAGTTTGTACGATGACAAATTTTTATGTGGACGATTTAAGATTATCTCATGTGTTGGTATTCTGAAGTGAAATAATATTTTTATGTATTTTTCATTACAGAATATCCAAAAACTTTATTTTATCAGATTACACAGTGTACGTTTACAAATACATTGCACATTTTAAAAACTCCGTATAAGTAATCCTCCAATCTGTTCGAATAAGATGATATCTGTTAAGCTGAAGGGTGGTTCCAGGCCATTAGAGCCGGTGATGAGGTCCCGCTTCCGCGCCTCCGGACATATGAAGGGACTCTCACCAAGCTCTCATTAAGGGTTAAATTACTAACAGCTCAAAAGGATTTAAATACGAGAAATGTTTACGTGAACACGGCAGTTTAATGTAGTACCTATACAATATACTTACACAATTATGTAACAAGTTTGCACAATTTCGATTTCTATAATGAAAATTAAACATTTTCGCATGTTAAATAATTTTAATCAACAATTAATAATAATCATTCAATTAAAAAATCAGTACTATTCTATGATTTGTATAATAACATAAATCAGAATCCGGTTATACCCTGCGGCAGCGTTTTTTTAACTTTAGCTATAAAAGGGTAGCCTCATCTGGCACATTGTTTAACGATTCCTTGCTATGCATGAAATTTTATTTACATAATTAAACGTCGGGCAACCTACTCTACCCTCTTTTTGATTTGCGATGTCTACAGAGATTTTTGCCGTTTATTTGCATATTTTCCGAGAATACTTGATAGGCTTCGTTAGATATTTTTGTTCCTATGCAAAATATAATGTCATAATATTTAGCCAGCGATAAATTGCAAATAAGCAAAGATACCCTAAAACGAGTAGGCATACCTACTACTCTGTTTGAAAGCTCATATGACGCAGTCAAATTTCACAGTTAATTGAGTACAGTATATAGAAATATATTACGTTTATACTTGAACATGAAACTGTTTATTTTAAAAGCAATTTATATAATAAAATCTCATTTATTAAATGCCAGCAATATATAATAATAATACAAGTAACACGAGTTTCTAATTTGTCAGAAGCAGGCATGTCTAATTGTCTATCTAATTATATCTACACATATAGTACCTAGTCCCTATTAAAAGTTAGCGGGACCCATTACTTTCTCAATACATTTTGCAATATTTCTAATGACGTGAATGCAGTTCGGTACATTCTATAGAAATTCATTTTATTTACTAATTCAAATCAATGCTGCAATTCATGCGTAAGGGTTACTATTGAAAGGGATCAAATTGAATTCGGTTCAAGTACACATGCTCGCGTTTGCCCATTCATCAATTGTATCACATAATGGGGGAATAGTAGTCAACAGCTTACTTCCTTTACAACCTACATGTTCATTATACCTACTGTATATAATATATATTATATTAGATTGTTTGTTTGTATATATATTGAGACATATATGTATACACCCACTACCGACTACCTAGTTACATATTTTTAATCCCACTAATGTTATAAATGTGAAAGTTCGTAAGGATAACCGGATGTTTACATAAAGTATAGGTACTTCATTGTTTGTAATAATTTTATAATTTTATTGTACAAATTATAGCTACATATACTTAATATTATTAAAGGTTTAATTTATAATAGCAATATATTTCAACACATAATTTTCAGCTGTATTTCAAAAATATAATAAGAATTAAGTACTCGGTTGGTAAAATAACTTATTGTATAGAATAAGACAATAAACCGTTAGCGAGGTTAATGAAGATGAATTAATAAATAAATTGACAATTACATAATGTAAATATACAATTTTAAGTAGTGTACATAGTAATAATTATATATAATCCGGACAAAAAAACTTTCAACAATTTTGTCGTACTCGTATAATCGATGTAATATTTGGTTTATAACGGAAGCGGAATAATCAATTTGACAGCTTATAATTTACCAAGGAAGGAAATCAATAAAACCTTCTGAAACAATACTAGACCTTGCAACGATCAGTTCAATACGGACGAGGAAGGAAACGATTAATGTTCACAATTCACAACAATATATGTATACCATAACTACATTCCGACAGATTATCTAATTTATGAAACATTGTGAAATCCTATATAGGTAAAAATAAAAAAAACAAATCATAATTCCTGTATATATGCACTATTGTATAAATGCAAATTATTAATTGATTATACTTAATAGCTTTTTCTTATAAAAGAATGTTAAAAATATTTTTCATGTAAGTATTTTAGTGTCAAAGTGTAATAACAAATTAATGACTCTATTTCAATATGTAAACCGTAAATTTAAAAATTTTTAAACTTCATTTGGGTAGATATTAAATTCATAGTAAGTACATATGAAACTTATAATTATACTATCTACTCGCCCCGGCTTCGTACGGGTGTACATGTACTATACAATTAACCTTCCTTTTGAATCACTCTTCCCAACCGCTTCAAAATCCGTAGTTTTTAAAATTTAAGCATACATATGGACAGACAGCGGCAGAGACTCAATTTTATACTATAGTATGTAATGATAATGATGATAAGAAATTAGCATATACTCGTGCATGAACAATTGCAATTAAACAATAAATAAACTAAAATGTCATCTTGTAAAGAATTCCGGGTTACTCGCTATGAGTAATACAAACGATACGAAGGATGTGGGACAAGACAGAAGAGAGCTTTCAGACGGCCAGATGACTCACGGCCTAGCCTGGTGTATTAATATCGGAGACACGCCTCCTGGAACGACGACTAAAATAGTTTTAGTGTCGCGTGACTTCGATTAATAAAACACATTTCATAGGTCATTCACAAATGACACATCATAGTTGTAAAATATTTTAATCGATTGTATTTATTTATATTTATACTTTAGTGATGGTAGGTACATTATATTTACAGTTAATGATTCAATTGGTAGTGCGTAATTTGTTAATGAGACCGTTGTAGCTCTTATTTATTGAGTGACGATTAATATTAACGTCAACAAATAATAAATAGGTCAACTAAAACTGTTATACCTACTCTCGTGTGTATATTTAAAAAAATCAAGTGTTTATTTCTAACCATCTTATGTCCTAACTTTATGAACAAAATAGAGAATACGAATGAAATCGTTAAGAATTAAACAATTAATAATTAGGATTATAATAATTTCTAAAGTGACTCACCAACGCATCGTAATAACCAGATTATCTGCCTGTACGATACGTAAGTACGAAGTTGATAAAAACAATTTGAAAACTGACATTGCTTTTGATATAATAAGTACATAATACATTGATGTTATATAGATTGAATGGTTGAATATTTTAGATTATATATTGAACTTTAAATCAAACATATCAAAATTAATTTTACAATAATCATTCTTATAATACTGAAGAATAATATGAGAGAAACGCGACATCGTTAAAATATTTCGCATTTTTGCTGCAATTGGCACGGTCATTCCTGTGCCGTCGCAAACTACTGTCTGGTCACGTTCAGCAAACCAGAAACCGCAAACAGGTCCCGGTACGAGTGAATTAAACAGATACTGTATTATTCTTTTCCATAGGCTTTACGAACATGCCTTTCAATTATTCCGAACTTGTTGGCTCGAAGCCCTGAACGTCTCTTATCTGTCTAGTCACATCACAATATTATGTTTGGGTCGAATTCCAAATATTTTGCTTCGTTTTCAATGACTATCTATTTAGTAATACAGAATAAATTAATTAATTTGAAACTTCCGTCAAATATCGCAAGAGCTTAAATCAAATGAGGCACGTTTCGCGCTGAATCTACTTGAGTAACTAAGCATACAATTGTTGCAAATGACAAAGCAACCAAAGGAAATAAGCTTAATTACCAAGTTGCCAGTGGAAATCGCCCAAAGGACCGAGGGTCTTTTAAGTAGACCCTTACGATGTTTCAATGAAAGGAGCAATTATGAAGAAATTTTCAACACCTCCTTATAAAGGTCGTCGTACTCCAAGTATGAAATAAATTATTATTGTTCGTTATATAGAATATTTGTTAAAAGCATGTAAATAGGTAGTGTCCTATAGGGTCTTTTCTAAAATGTTATTGTACATTTTTTCTACCATATATTATACTGTACAAAATTCAAAATTATGAAGTTATGAATAATAGGAAAAATTAGATAGCATAATTATTAATAATAGTAAGTGAACACGTATTTCTTAACAGCGTATTCTTATCATTATTGTGTTAACGTTGTTTACATTTATTAATCATGATAGTCCAACATCACATAATTAGATAAAATTGTAAAGTTAAAAATGTTAACATTTACCTACTACTACTACCTACTATAATTCATACGACCTTGAATAGTATTCTGCATACCTCCATCACTATAAACAACTTTTCCATTCCGTGTTTTGTAGTATATATATATATATTTGCATAAATAGTTCTTTTTTACAGTTTAGAAAAAAAATGTCACCTTTATTGTAGAGAAAACTTTGCTCTCTGAACTTGTAACTGAGTTAAGTGAACCCTCGCTAGATCGCCAGAGGCTCCTAATCAATATCTACTGCAGTCTCGATTCTATTTCCTTTTTTTTCGTATTACTTTAGGATCTTTGAATTCAATTTACTAATAATACTCATAAGTACATAGATAAGTATTGACAAT